TTCCAGATTTACCCCAGGGGAAGTCAGGATGCGGCCCTGATTCCATTGCAGTTGCAGGGGAGAAGGAAGCAGGGAGGGAGTGACTCCAGGACAGCTGAGATTAGGACTGGGAACAATGTGTACCTTACTCCTCTGCATATCAGTAGGCCACAGAGCAACTTGAAATCAATAGAGCCAACTCCCCTGTTGCTAGTACAAAATGGCTCCTCGACACATTGCAATCGGTGGGTCCAGTTTTGTGGTATGCACCTATCCAGGAACTGACCCTGGGTTTTTCCCCCACCCCTGCTCCTGCCTCTTTCCTCTTGTGTTCTGTGGCTTTCCCCACTACCAGCCTTGCCCTGGCATGGTGATATCATACCAGGAAGCTGATGCATTTCAAGACACTCCCTTTGGAGCTTTTACTTTCGATTCTTACCAGCATCGATGATGGGAATTTTATGCTGCAGATTTTTTCCTTTTTTTTTTTCTTCCTGTCATAGGTGTGAAGCTGACAGTGGGAGAAAGGCAGGTTTGATAGCCCCCAAAATACCCCTTTCCTACCACTTAATACATGCCCACCTGTTGATTACTGCTGCATTCACTTATTTAGATTGTATAGGAAGATGTGGGGCACCCAGGGCTGGGATATTAGGAGGAGGCTGTAAGTCGGGAGTTTAGAGGGTCTGGTAAAAGAAAGCCTAAAAAGGGGACCACAGGAGGCTGTGAACAAAGGTTCACAGCAGAGGTTGAGAGTAAGGCCAGGACTGAGTTAGCAGGGAACTGGAGATCAGGACTGGAGGAGTATTATCTCATACCTTTTACAACCAGTTTTAGTAAAAGGGGAAATAGCAATGAACATTGTGTTTAGGCTGCCTGCAATTATTTGCCTAGGAGGCTGAGATCCCATGGTAACAAACAGTCTGTGATCACATAGGTAAAGACTATATCAAGCTGTACCTTTGCAAAGTGACAGTGTTAAAGTGACTGAGGCATCCTCAGTCCTGGCTCGTTTCCTTGTTCTGTGCTAGATGCTATAACCGACATAACTTTCATTTAACCAAGGATTTTATACATGGATATTCTATATTATTAGTACCTACAGGCATCAGCCAAGATCAAGGCCCGTAAGGGTCCACAAGGAGCTGGACAAATGCCTCAACTGAAACTGGGGATAACTTTCAACAGTCCAGGCAGGACGCCCCCTCCCCACAATCAAAACCAGAACCTCCCCTCCCTGAGTGTTGCTGGGCTCTGTGCAGACCACTCCATCGGATTGTGGGGGTCTCCATCACCGTCAGGTGCTGCACTGAATCCCTGAACAAAGTTGAGGGCTCCTGCCATCATGGGGGTGTCTGTGTAGCCTGCCTAAAATTGAAGTTCTGCCATCTTGCCACATACTTAAAAACATAAGAACATAATAAGTGCCGTGCTGTGTCAGACCAGTGGTCTTTCTAGCCTAGTATCCTGTCTCCGACAGTGGCAGAATTACATACAGGGAGAGCCTTGAACTAGATACGTCTAAAGTAATTCATAATTTATTCAATACCCTCCCTGGCATCCACCATACCATTATTGGCTTAGGCATGTCAGAGGAAACATCTTTTACCATTCTGTTCAATAGCCATTAACAGATGTATCATCTATGAATGTATATCTTCCCTTTTTCAACCTGGCTATGCTCTCTGTCTCCACCATTTCCTGTGGCAATGAATTCCCCAAGTTAACTACACAGTGCATAAAAAAGTACTTTCTCTTGTTAGTTTTAAATCTGTCACCTAGTAATTTCAGTGGGTGTCCCCTAGTTCTAATATTCTGGGGCTCGGTGAATGACAGTTCCCTGTTCACTTCGTCCACACCCTTAATGATTTTATAGACCTCTGTCATATCCCCCTCTCAGCCTTCTCCTTTCCAACTTGGAGAGCCCTAGCCTTTATTAGTCTCTCCTGGTATGGCAATTCCATGCTCCTGCCTCTGCTATGCAGACCCCGTATGGCAGGATCCAGGACACCTCTGCATCCCACTGGGCACTGTATAAACATGTGGTTTTAAGCAAGTAAGCAAGTGTCTGTATAGGCATATAGTGAGCAAGTGCCCTGGCAGAGGGCAGTAACCTATCTGCATTCCCTCCGTATGGTGAAATGTGTCCTAAACCTGTTCCTATGTTTTCTCCTCCAGGATTATATCAAAGGTCTCTGCACCCCTGAACTGAGTGAGAAAGTCTCCTATCCAAAGGACATGCAGTGTGTCTTTTTAGGGGCTCAAGGACTTTTCTTGGGCTGTCTCATCCAAGGGACCTCAGCCAACCTGTTGCTCCTTAGCGCTGGCTCCCTGTTGGTCTCAGGCTTGGCTGAGGCCGTTGTAATGGCTCAGAGCCGCATCCAGGAGTTTGTGAAAAAGTATCAAAACAATCCCAAGCTTCCCGAAGAACAGGAAACTACGGTCAAAAGGGCCTTCAGGGAACTGGTAGAGTCCCACAATGACAAGCATGCCATGGACCTGCTTATTTTGCCCACCCCAGTGAAAGAGGAGCTGCTCAGCCTGGTGCGGGAAACACTGGAGGAAGTCAAACAAGGAGAACAAAAGAATGGGGGCTGGACCCCACTGGCATTCAAACAAGACTGGCCACTTGGTGGGAAAGCTGAAACCACAGGTGGTTTTAGGCTTCAGGATTTGACTAATACTCAGGACCACTTTGATTTTCCCAAAGGCCTCAGTAGGCTACAAGACCAGACTAGGCTACAAGACCAGATTAGCCTACAAGACTCCAGGCTTGATCTGTCCACCGGATTTAACCGAACTGATTTTCCAGTTAGTCTCAGTAGGCCTGAGGAGGAGACCACTCCGAAACCAGTACTTTACAAGAGGTCTTCTCAACCCTTCCTAGGTTGTAATGCTACCCAGCAGTGTCAGGAAGATTCATTGTCCCCTGAGCCCCTGGGCTTAGCAGCAGGCCTGAAGGAATCCCTAAAGGAAAGGCACCCCAGGGAAACCATCGATGAGGAGAAGGAATTGTCAACTGGTATCATGTCATCATCATGGACGGAGAAGGAGTTCAAGATGAGGCTGAACTTTTTCAAGACCATGGGCTACAAGGAGCAGGTGGTAAAGAAGGTCCTGATGGAAGGTGGGGTGCGGGAAGCCCCTTCAAGGATCTTGGGCAAGGTTGAGAGAGAGCAAGCATCCTCCTCCCAGCAGGAACATAATACCATACCTCTCCAGGAGCCCAGTGGAAGAGGGGTATCGCCTCTTCCACAGATGGAGATGACCCAAGATGAGCACGAGTACCTGGTAGAGGTCATTAAAGCAGCGGCAGCCAATTGTGGTCACTCACTCAGCGAGATCCCGGATGAAATCCCACGGGGAGCCCCTTTGGCTGATTTGCTGAGGAAGCTCAATGAAAAAGAGGACCACTGGGAGGAAGCTGGGGCTGCAGCTGGACCAGGGCACAGAAGCAGCCACAGTGAAAGTGAACCAGCCATTTCAAATGGCAAGGACTCTCCCTGGGGTCAGCATCACTGGCAGCCAGGGAGGAAAGCCCACAACAGATCTCCTTTCCGCAGTGGTGTCCGTGGCCCTCCTCCTCTCCCAGATGACTCTGCTTCCCCTACAGAGGTATCCACTGCTGACATCCCCATATTAGAGAACCAGCCAGCTGAAGACATTTACCCACGCCCGGCAGAGGCACCTACGGGCCAAGTGCCAATGGTGACCGGAGCACAGCGGTTCATGGAGGCTATCCAGAAACCCTTTAAGCTCAACTTGGCCAACACACCAGGGAAAAAAAACCTTCGTAGGATCATTATTGATGGCAGCAATGTGGCCATGGTGTAAGTAGCTGACATTTCTGTGTGCCCTTCCAGCCCACATGCTGTGGAGTTTGGGAGTCTTGACGGGCAGCCAGTAAGCTTAGTGAAATGAAACTCCACTAACTACCTTGATTTGGACCTTTCAGCCTTACTGGTAAGCCTTAGTACCAGCCTCAAACTCAAGTAGGCCCCAAGACTCTAAGCCTTATTTTCCTGTAGATGTACACCAAAATAAATCTAGAGAATCTGTGCTTGATTTATCCATAGGCCTTAAGACCAGATAAGGTCCCAACACCTTAAAGCTGGCTAGTCAGTAGCTCTTCAAGACCAAATTTGACCTTTGAACAGTAAGCTTGATCTTCCCATAAGCCCCCCAAGCTAGATGAGGCCTGGAGAATCTAGGCTTGCCTTGACCATTTGCCTCAAGTACAACTGGGTTTGTAGGCCTCAGTAGGTTTCAAGACTGAACAGGCCCAAAATGGTAGGTCTCACTTGTCTGATCTAGGGTCCTCCAGAAAAGATCCTTAGACTCTAATGATGACTTCTCCATAGACCTTCAACATCAAACTAGACCTGAAAAACTTTTGCTTGATTGTATTACAGAGCTTTGTAGACCTTGACACCAGACTAGGCCATGACAGTCTGGTTGGCTTGCACGGAGCTTGAGGACCAAGCTCAAGATGATGGTTCCTAAAGACATCAGTGTCACAGACCTCTCCACAGGGGACCCCAAAAGCCCCAAGTTTCTCCCTGTTGTACTGCCACTTGCCCTAAGGCACAGGCTGAGATGGCTCTGAAATAGCTCCTGATCTCAGCACCTCAGATACTCTACCCTTGTACCTAGATGCTCTAGCTGCAGTGAGGGATCCTTGGTAGCCCCTCACTTTTGGGTTATGAAAGAAATTATATGTCCCCATTCTCATGGAGAGGGTCAGCCTAGATATCACCTGCCAAAAAGTCACTCCCTCCACAGGCAACCAGTAAGAGGACAATAAAAAGGTTTTACAACAACAGAACAAGCATAAGAAACCAGTAAGCATATGATGAGAGACAGACAGAAATATAAGATTAAACAAACCAAAGAAAACACCAGAACATTGACCTGTTCTTAAATCCAAAGGTGCAATCCTTAGCTAGCTTCAAGGGTCTCATTGCAACTTCTGGCACTTCCCATCAGGGTTTCCTGCATCCCCCTCTCAGCTTGCTTTAGCAGAACCCTTCGCTGGGGGATTCAACCACTCCCAAGTACCTGGGAATACTGGAGACAAGCCATACTCTGTAGGGGTGTAGGTTGTAGCCGTGTTGGTCTAAGGACATAGGCAGACAAGGTTCTTTAGGTGAATCTGATATCTTTCATTAGACCAACTTAAATAGTGGGAAAACAATTTTTAAGCAAGCTTTCGGGTTCAAAAACCCTTCGTCAGGCTAAGGAAGTTTCAGCAGTCGGTGTGTGCTCTTCCTGGATGGACTGAAGAGTAAAGAAGCCAGCGGCTGGGCTGGTATGCATACAAGACAGGCGGTCAGTGAAAATGTAGATTGAGGAGTCAATGGGTGAGAGACAGGCTGGGGAGGGAGGGGGGTGGGGGGAGAGAGAAGGGGAATGGAAGTGGAGAGATGCCTGGGGAGTCAGATGTCAGGCAGGTTATAATGTGTCATAAATCCAATGTCTATATTTAGTCCATGAATTTTAGTATCCAGGAGGTTGATGAAGTGGAGTTCGTAGGCTCGTCTCTGGGAAGTGGTTTATAAGTTTCCTTTGAGGATCAGGACTGAGAGATTGGAGAGAGAGTGGTTTTCTTGTGAGAAATGTGCCCCCACCGGTAATTGGGTATTCCTGTCTTTGATTGATTTCCGGTGTCCTTCATTCTGGTGCGCAGTTGTTGTTTGGTCTCTCCTACGTATTGTCCATCAGGGCATTTGGTGCATTGGACGAGATATATTACATTTCTGGAGGTGCAGCTGTACGATCCAGGAATGCTGATGGCTCTGTTGTGGGGTGTAGGAATAGTGGGGGTGGTGGAGATGTGTTGGCAGGTTTTGCATCTCTTGTCATGGCACGGTCTGGATCCTTTTGGTGTGCTCTGGGCTTGAGGAAGTTTGCTTCTGGTGATGAGGTTAGAGAGGTTCGGTGCTTGTTTGAAGGCTAGGATGGGTGGCTCTGGGAAGATCTTTTTAAGAATTGGGTCTCTTTCTAGTATGGGTTGCAATTGTTTGAGGATTTTCCGTACAGGTTCAAGGGAACCTGTTTCCTCAAAGGAAACTTACAAAACACTTCCCAGAGACGAGCCTACAACTCCACTTCATCAACCTAAAAAAAAAGTACTAAAAATCATGGACTAAATATAGACATTGGTTTTATGACACATTATACCTGCCTGACATCTGACTCCCCAGGTATCTCTCCACTTTCATCCCCGTTCTCTCTCTCCTCCCCCACCCCCAACTCCCCAGCCTGTCTCTCACCCATTGACTCCTCAATCTACATTTTCACTGATGACCTGTCTTGTCTGCACACCAGCCCAGCCTCTGGCTTCTTTACTCTTCATTCCATCCAGGAAGAGCGCACCCCGACTGCTGAAACTTCCTTAGCCTGACGAAGGGTTTTTGAACCTGAAAGCTTGCTTAATAATTGTTTTCCAACTATTTAAGTTGGTCTAATAAAAGATATCAGATTCACCCAAAGAACCTTGTCTGCCTATACTCTTTAGGCAGACTTAAGTACCTTTGCCAGTTTGGCTATTATCATTTGTCACCCCTTCATTTCTAAGGGGCTTACACTATTCCAGTAACTTCCTGACCTCCCAAAGGGGCATGTTTACCAGACTACAGTCTTGCATCTTTTTAGACATGCATATTCATCCATCTGATATGCTGTCTCTCCTGTATGTTAGTTTGACCAGCTTGGTGTTAGGCTCCTTTAAAAAGTAAATGCATCATTATCTGTCCAGCCCAAGGCTTGTGGAGGACCACTACATAAACCAAGTCAAATGCTAATGCTCCGCCATTGACTCTTCTAAGAGTAAAGGTGGACCATTCAAGTTAATCATCACCTCACTAACAACTTTAGCTGAAATATAAAGATGCCCTGAAATTACATTTGTATCAAATACTATAACAAGAACACAGTAGAAGTGAGCACAGCTATGCACTCACTACAATTAGAGACCAGCTACCCCAATAATGGACCTAATTTGAGAGAATATTCATGCATGCCATGCAGTAAACTCCCAAAGTAACTTTATCTTGGGGTACCTCCATGACACTCAACATACTTCATGAACAGGGTAGTTCTCTGGTCCTTGAACCTGATGTTTTGGGAGTTAACTTAGGCCTTCAGGCCTGACTAGGCCTTCCCATGTCCTTGGTGGGAGCTGGTGTGGTTTCAGTGTCCCCTTCCATCTCTCCTGCAGGCATGGCTTGTACCAGTTCTTCTCCTGTCGGGGAATTGCACTGGCAGTGCAGTATTTCTGGGATCGTGGACACCGGGAGGTGACAGTCTTTGTGCCACAGTGGAGGATGGAAAAGGATGCCAAGGTGAAAGGTGAGACAGGGGATGGGGATGGGAGCATATCTCTATGCCTTGGTGCTTGCTTTCCTTTCTCACCCTCGTGGACTCAGCCCTGCTCCAGCTCACTCCGTCTCTTCTTCTTTCTCTCTCCCCACTGCACAGAACAGCACTTTTTGACCCAGCTCCGGGACCTGAGTCTGCTCTCCCTAACACCCTCACGGCAGGTGGCTGGGAAGCGGATTGTGTCTTATGATGACAGGTAACGATGGGGCACTTTCTATCCCATCTCCCACCAAGGGTCTAACTAGACCTCAAGGCCTAGATTTGACTTGCATGAAAGCTGCACTTGGCCTCAAGACTAGGCCTGACTTTCCCATAGGAAGTGAGGCTGAGATGTCCCACCAGCGCCTAGGGTTCAGGTGGGAGAAGGGTGGAAGAGCTTGGGAAGAGCTCGAATCCACTGAGGAATCCCATGTCACGCTCCCTGGACCCTCACATCAATGTGTTCTCCCCTGCTTGAGCCCAGGGCTCGTTGGCACCCAGCCAGTTAATAACCAGACTGAATAGTCTAAAAGGAAGTTCAAGGACTCAGTTGTGGTGTATAGACCCTGGGACACTCCCAGGGTATCCCCCAAACTGGAGTTTCCGAACCACAAGGGTCAGGTGATGCAAAGGCCCCGCCTGGCTGTATGAGCAATAAGCAGATGTCTGGAAGGCAGGAAATGGTTGGGGTTGCAGTGAAAGGGGTTAATTTAAGGACATCTCTAGGTCTCAGTGCAGGAGCTGAGGCTGTAATAGGACATACTGTTTTCCCACTGCTGTTGCCCCTTGATTCTCTTATATCGTGGAGAGAGAGTAATACAAGGGAACTGTCCTTGGGTCCTACTATCCCTGTAATATGGTACTTTTGGAGACTGTGGCCATCATCTGTGCAGCCATGCTAGCACCTCATGCTCAGTTGTGAGCACTGCAAGAATCTGTCCTAGCTCCCAAATGTACCCAAGAATGCCAAGCAGGTACTCAAGCATGTCCTGGGGGTCTCATTTTGTGCCTGTGGAGCTAGGTTCATGCTCAAGCTGGCAGAGGAGACCAATGGGATCATCGTCACCAATGACCAACTCCGGGACTTTGTGCAGGAATCTAAGAAATGGATAGGAATCATCAAAGAGAGGTGAGGGGGAACATTGGTAACAGGATATGGACCTGTGCCAGGGCAGCGGGAGTTGGCTGGATCAAGGGATGTGTGGCCTTTCCCCTCCACGGGGTACTGGCCCCAATCTGGCTCCATGGTGAGGGACTGACTTGTTCAAAAGGTGGGGAAAGAGGCACAGGGCCCAGCTCTGACTCTGATCCAGAATGAGATTAAGAAGTTCTTTTATTTCCCTTTGTTTTCAGGCTGCTGCAGTATACCTTTGTGGGCAACATCTTTATGGTTCCAGATGACCCACTAGGCCGAGGGGGTCCCACCTTGGATGAATTCCTGAAAAAAACCCATAGGTATCTATCTGGAGTGGTCAGGCAAGGCCAGCTGGCTTTGGGAGGGCTTTATATGCAAAAATGCCATGTGTTCAGAAATCCCTTTTAGGGGATTTTGATTTCCCCACCCCCCTTTGAAGTAAGAGTGGGTTTTTTAGCTGCCACATTCTGGCCACAAAAAAATGCTATCCTCCCTCCTCCACTTGGTGACCAGACATGGGAACTGTGGGTACATTATTTAGTAATTACAGCAAGGACCCAGGATGTCTGGAAGTTCAGGCTAAAATGTTGTTAATATTTCCCCCTGCAGGTCCAAGCCCGTGAATTGCCACTCTTTTGCAGGCCGAGGGGCTCCCCTGGCCAAACCTGCCCTCTCGGCCTCTCAGACTGAGGTTCTCCAGCTAAAGGACAGGAAGCCCCCAGGGGGGCTTGCCAGAGAGCAGCAGCAGCAGCATAGGAGATGGCAGCAGGAGGAAGGGGAGGAGGAAGAAATATCCCGGAAACCAGCAGAAACTGAGCGGCTGAGGCAGCAGCTCCTGGAGATCTTCACAGGACAGCACCAAAGGGTGGATTTTATCCTCCACAAGGAGCCCTGCACCCGAGATCTCAACAAGCTCTCTGAAGCCCTCCTGAGCCTCAACTTCTGAGATTGTTGTTCTGGGGAGACAAATCTATGCTTCGAGGCCCAAGAGTGCCATAACCTCCAGTGCCAAAATCATGGTTTTTTCTCCAGGTGAGCTGCAGGATACCATGTGTGTTTCAGGGGGACTTTCAGTGTTACATATCATGGGCCACTTAATAAGTTAAAGTACAGTGCTACTGGCTTACAGCAACAACGGCAAACTGTTCTTCCATATGGCTGAGCCCACCAGCCTCTCATCACAGGTCACTGTTTCAGCTTGAACCTATGACCTTCAAAATAAGAAATCAGAGGTAGCTTTGACCAAGTTAGAAGCGAGACTGTTTTAGCCAGTACCCATTGGTACCCTTCTCTTGGGATCAGCACTTTACTGAACTCCTGTTATCAGGGACTGAATCCATGACCTTCAGTGCCAATACCACTGATTGAGCCGTACCCGGAGCTGCAGGACTAACTGTTGTCTGATAGCAGGTTGCTGTATTGTTGCAAGGGCCGTGGCCCATGAGAAAGAGAAAAAGAAGCCCTCTTGTAATGTGGGGGAAGCGGGGCTCACAGGGTGAGAGATCAAGAGGACTGGGAGTGAAGACTTGCAAATGAGACCAAGAGGACGGGGAATGAGAAAAAGAGAACAACAACACTAACGAGCCCTCCACAGCTGTCTCTCACCCCGCTCGCTCTAAGATCAAATCCAGCATCTGAGCAAGACTGAACCCAATAAGCTTGAACCCTTCCCAAGCTCTGCTCTTCTGCACCCTGGAAAACTAACTGCTGGGACTGGGCCTACAAAATAGAGACATCTTCCAGCTATGGGCAAGAAATTGCTCTAGTAGTTGAAGAGCCCACTTCAACTGGGGTGAGCCACTACGTGTCCCCCTGCAAAATCATTGCCTGGTTCAGAGCCCTTATTCAAAACATTTGTTGCAGTGACTGGCTGGATCTTAGGACAAACTGTTGATGGTCTCCAAACTGGATATTCAGGCCTGAGTCAAGGAGATAGAAAACAAGAAAGCAGGGTTATCTTCATCCTGCCTTGTACCTTGGAGCCTTGGTGGGAGGGGAAAGAGAAGCAACCAGCTGGAAAGGAGTGATTAGAGAAGATTTGTTTTGTAACACTCCTCAAGATCCACTGGTGTCCCTTCCGCTTCATTCACCACTCACCCATCCCAACATCTGTTGTGGCCTCCGCTGCACCACCCGAGAAAGGACAACCAATCTTCCACCAGCAGCTGCATCATCTGTTTCAGGGATTTTCTGGAGCCTCCGTAGGTTGTAAGTTTCTCCTTTGATCCTTGGCAAAGTCCATGACACTTTGACTTCAATTCCTACCTCTGCCTGGTCTGCTGCTGCCTTCCCGTTGGGGGACAGATTCTGCTTCTGCACCTGCATCAGTCGTGGAGTGCCTCTAGAATGAGCCAGAGCAAGAATGAGACCAGGGTCTGCCCTGAGTGTATCTGACTCAGGGGTTTGAAATCTGAAATCCTGCTGCAGGGGAAGACCTAGCCAGCTCTGTTGGCCAGGACTATATCCCATACATAGCCCCCTGTATGGGGCCTTGTCCACCACTGGACGGGGACAAACTGCTGCACAGCTTGTGTTGTACCTCACACACTGACCACCTCTCCCTCGGCAGCCCCATCGTCCTTCCAGCCATCCATGTCTGTAAACCTGGTGTCTCCTCCAAGATGTTTCTCCATCCCACCCCACCCCACTTCCTTTACGATTATCCCCTTCTTTAGCACCCACCCAACTTCCATTTTAGAGCCTTTGCCTCTGCTTTGAACCCTATACTTTCTCTTTGCTAGCTCTTTCTCTTGCTCTTCCCTTAACTCTTGTTCACTATACCAGCTTTCTTCTATCTGTCTCCTACCTCTCCTTCAACTGGACCAAAATCCCACTGAGGGACAGCATCTTTGCCTGACCTACCTCACTTGCCCTATGGAGTCTCCAGCTCCTTCAGTATCCCACTGAATTCCTTGGTCCTCACCTTCCCTACAAGGTCCTTCCAAGCCTCCTGCCTTATTAATGTTAGTATCCATGAGCCTCACTCCTCTCTCAAAATCTTTGATCTGAAAGACCAAACCAGTTGCTCTTCCAGCTCTCCTTAATGCTCTCCCTTTTCCCTTCCCAATCCCTTCCTTGTGTTCATCTCACTTTACCAGTGGGTCTTTCCCAGGCATTTACTGAGTCTTACCTACCTTTGTAAATTGAACTGCGGCATCTGCACAAATTATTTTTATAGCAAAGGTAATAAATAGCAGGGCTGGTGAGACAGAATCGCATTTGTTCCTGCCATACGCTGCCCACTGATCTCCTCCAGAACCTGCAAACTCCAAAAGGTTGTGGGAGGGAGTTCAGGGCAACTCTTGCTTGCCGCAGTCCTCACTCCCAGCCCTCTTGTTCTCACTGTGTGATCCCTGCTCCCCTCCTGTAATGAGAAGGAGGAACCCAGGGATCCTGGCTCTCAGTCTGCTATTGCTGACATCAGAACACCTGTCACAGACTCTTCTACTCCTGGTGGGAGCTGGAGTGTGAGGGGCCTGCAAGCAGCCTAAGCCCCTTGGCACAAGGTCTCCAGCCCAACTCCTTCCTGATAGGCACTGACTAGCTGGGGCTAGTCAAATGGATGGATGGATAGATAGTGGAAGACATGGCCTTGACCTCACCATGATCCGCTGGCTGGGGAATTGGCTCCACGGTAGGACCCAGAGGGCGGTGGTCGACGGAAGCCAATCATCTTGGTGCGCTGTGACCAGTGGGGTCCCACAAGACTCTGTCCTAGGGCCTATACTATTTAACATCTTCATCAATGGTGTGGACATTGGTGTCAGAAGCGGACTGGCCAAGTTCGCCAACGACACCAAACTCGGGTAAAGCATCCAGGGTGGATCTGGACAGACTCATGAAATGGGCAGATGAGAACCTGATGGTGTGCAGCACTGAAAAATGCAAGGTTCTCCACCTTAGGAGGAAAAACCTGCAACATGCTAATAGGCTTGGCAGTGCTATGCTGGTTAGCACTACAGATGAAAGGGACTTGGGGGTCATGGTTGACCACAAGATGAACATGTGCCTTCAGTGTGATGCTGTGGCTAGTAAAGCGAGCAAAACGCTGGCTTGCATCCGTAGATGCTTCTCAAGCAAATCCCAGGACATCATTCTCCTGCTGTACTCCGCCTTGGTGAGGCTGCAGCTGGAGTACTGCATCCAATTTTGGGCTCCACAATTCAAAAAGGATGTGGAGAAGCTTGAGAGGTTGCAGAGGAGAGCCACAGGCATGATCAGAGGTCAGGAAAACAGACCTTATGATGAGAGGCTGAGAGCTATGGGGCTGTTCAGCCTGGAAAAGCGCAGGCTCGGGTGATCTGGTGGCCACCTATAAGTTTATTGGGGTGCTCATCAGGACCTGGGGGAATGTCTGTTTAACAGAGCCCCCCAAGGGATGACAAGATCGAACAGTCACAAACTCCACTGTGACCGATTCAGGCTGGACATAAGAAAGAACTTCTTCACTGTCCGAGCCCCCAAGATTTGGAATAGACTGCCACCAGAGGTGTTTCAAGCACCCACTTTGAATGCCTTCAAGACACATTTGGATGCTTATCTTCTATGATCCTATGATCCCTGCTGACTTCCTGCCCCAGGGCAGGGGGCTGGACTCGATGATCCTCCGGGGTCCCTTCCAACCCAAATGTCTATGAAATATATAAAATCTATTTGGACAGATGGAGGAAAATATGTATATGGAGTGAATGGCTGGATGCAGAAGAATGTGTATGGGGATGGATAGATGAACATTAGAGGGAAATGCATGTAGGTGGATAGTTACATGCCAGTGGAGACAGATGGGCAGAGAGATAAGAATTTGTGCACTGGGAGGAATGGATGGAAGGCCAAAGATGTGTATGTAAGGATGGATAAACAGACAGACTGACGAAGAGGACCATGGGGATAAACAAAGAGGTAAACAGACTCTCAGCTTCTTGAACCAGAACTCTTAGATCCTAGCTCCTTAGCTGGACTGTTCTCAGTAGTGGCAGATAACAAAACAAGGAGCAATGGGTTCAAAGTTGCAGCAAGGGAAGTACAGATATTAGGAAAAAAACTCTCACTGGGAGGGTAGTAAAGCACTGGAACAGATTACCCAGGGAGGTTGTGGACTCCCCATCCTTGGAGGTGTTTAAGACCCAGCTAAACAAAGCCTTGACTGAGATGATCTAACTGGGGACAGTCCTGCTTTGAGCAGGGGGTTGGACTAGATGACCTCCTGAAGTCCCTTTCAAACTTCATTTTCTATGATTCTTTGAACCCCAAAACCCAAACTAGGAGCCTGAGTGTGCTGGCGGCCACATAGACAGTGAGAGATGGCCCCTTGCTCTTAAGAATCCTGTTTAAGCAGACAAGGAAGTGCACGGGGTTATAGTACCCATCATACAGATGGGGAAACAAGTCACAGAGAAAAAAGATTAGAGAGAGGGTTTTTTGTTTAATTTTGTTTTGTGGGATTTTTTTTCAAAATATGCAACCAGCTCTGAGGCAAAGCCCAGCCAAGAGCATCATCAAATCTAGCCACTGCCATAGAGGCCTGTCTTTCCTGGCTGTCCCAAAAGTATGAACTGTCCTCAGTCCAGCAAATCATCATGCATATGTGCTCCATGGGGCCAGCCCCTGCCCCCGCTCCCCTCCCCTCCCCTCCCCTCATCTCAATCTTCACTCGAATCTGGAAGGTGTGGTCCTCTTGGGGCTGGCCCCTGTTGGTCACCTGCACCTCAGTCCTCTGGCGCTGGAGCTCCCATGTCACCTACAAGAATGCTACCAAGTGGCAGATGAGGTGGTCTGGCGGACCCTGTGAGCTTTGGGCATGGTGCACATGCAGCTCGGCCAGGGGAAGGAGGGAAAGTGTTAGGGAAGCAGGGGATAGAGGCACCAGGAGGGCTGGCTCCATTCTTTACCACCTGCCCAGTGAAGACCCTGTGAGAACTGGACATCAGTGGTGCACTGCTTAAGGAGGCCACATGCCATCTCCTTCCACTCCCACTCCCCTTTTTGGGCCCCATCCTGAGCTACCAACCTCTCCTTGCTGTAACCACACAGCACATTTAACCCACTGACGATGCAGCAGCTCCTTATTCTCACAGACCTAGTGCATTCCTCTAGCTTGGAGCTGTGCTGCACCTCCAGGGGGAAGGCACTAGATAGCAGCCAGTTCTGTCCCCCAACCTCCCACCTACATGTCCCCTCCCCAGTCCACTCAAGTCCAGTCCTTTCCCACAGCTGGAATGAAAAACCAAGGGTCCTGAGGTCCACACCAACCTATAGGTACCCAGCTGATGCCCCTCTCCCACCATCCCCACCTCCCCCTCCCTATCATAGAAACTCACCTGCCAACAGGCAGCCAGCTTCAGGAAACAGCTTCTGCCCAGGGCTCTCAGATTGGGCCCTGCCCTTACCCATCCTCCAGGAGAGTAGTGCTGGTGTAGGCCCCTCCTTGGCATCAGCCCCTTTGTCTCATGGGTGCAGACCAGGAGCACAAGGTCATGTAGGAGCCAGGGCAGCCCTGGCACCACCCTGAAAAAGTGTCTGCATAGTGCAGTGTAGAGCCAAGCTGGCACAGGAAATGAGATCTAGGCATCTGGGATGATAAGCGGTCCACAGTTCCCAGCTGGGATAGACCAGGGAAGGCAAGACCCGGGCATTTGGGAGGGCAGGGGAGGATGATTACCCCGTGCAGGGAACCCATGACTCCCAACCCTTGTAGAAAGATGGGGTGCTTGCCCCTAGGTGGAGATTCTTTTGGGCAGAAACTAGTTCAATTGCTGGTGCTCAGGATATGCAAAGCACAGATGCAAAGGGCAGCTAGGAGCACGGAGATGGGGAAAAGCATCTTTGATTAGTTAGCGCTGAGTACAATTGATACAAATGCATGGCTAGTGATGGCCCTGGAGCTGCCAAGTCCAGGCATTACCACCACAGCTTGCAGCAAGGACCAGGACAAGATGGACATGGGGCCTCTCCCAGCATCTGCACCTCTCCAGCTCCAGCGCTACTAGTGAGACCTAGGGGAGATGAGTAGCGTCAGGGGCTCTAACATCCCCTTTCAGCCCAGTTCCTGGTGGAAGCATGAATGGAAACACCTAAAGCATGGGGGAGCTCTGATTCAGATCACCTCCATCTCCAGGATCTGGCCAGAGCGGATACCAGAATCCTCCTAGAGAAGGCAGACAGCAGGACAGCTCCAACATCCACCTGGATCAGTTCTTTGGAGAAAACAGAAATACCCATACACCAGATCTCTTACGAGCTCCGTGTCTGTCTCCACCAGCAGAACTATGTTGCACCACTAACCAGCATCTCAAAGGTCAACCCTCCCCAAAAAAAGGCCCCTGGCTTAGTCTTTGCCCCCTCCCCCAGAGACCAGCCCTAGAACTAGGTCAGCCCAGTGGCTAGAGAGGAATCCACTGCTATGGTTGGAGCAGCACAGACCTAGGAGTCCTGCTGAGGCCAATATGAGGGGTGTGAAGGCCTCTCTGGAAACACAGATAGGAACCAGGACTCCTAAGTCTATGCTGGAGAGCAGGGAAATGAGGCTTGGGTACCAGGAGTCCAGTGATTAGGAAAGAAGCCTGGAGACAAGATATCCTCAGCTGGAGAAAGGACATGGGGAAATCTAGTGTTTAAAGCCGAACTTCTTGGAGCCAAACATCCCTGGCAAGAGGAGCCAACCATACACTGGGGCACGGATCCACCCTCATATACCATCCAAGTCTTGAGGGCTTAGGACCCAGCCTCAGCAGCTTATTCCCAACAGGCCTGACAGCCCATGTGGGTGGGACATGGTGGGCCTCTCCCAGCCAGGCATGCTGCTATCAGCATGCGGAGGACCAAACCTTAGTTTATAGGCCTGACAACCACTGTGCCTCAGTTTCCCCAGCTTGCACGGGCCCGTCCACCTGCATCCAGATGCAGCCTTCACAGCAGACACATCAGCATTTATTATTCAGCAGCAGCCAAAACCATTGCATTGCTTGTCTTCTGCAGTTAGATCTCAGGAGGCCTCTCATCTGCCCGGGGCAGCGGGACGTGGGTGGGTGGTGAGGGGCTTCGGGTGACCTTCAGGGAACGGCAGAAGAGCAAGGGCTTGTGGCCCAAACCCAGGACATACTGCCACCAGTACAGCTTTTGCCTGGGCTGCAGGATGACCCGAAGAGACTCGTCCTCCTCGGCTACCGCCTCCCACTCTTCCTGCTCCGTCTGCAGTCCCACTCCACCATAAGCAGCGGGCAGAGAGAACTGGGCCTGGAGCAAGGCTACCGCGACGTCTGCGGCCCTAGGAGAACTGGCAGTGGAGTCGGTCCAGTTGGCCAACTTCTCCTGGATGCGTCCCACCTTCCGGGTTATGTCGTGGCTCCCGGGGACCGGTACGTCGGTGTCATTCTGGATCAACTTGACACATTCCCAGGCGCCAAAGGCAGGCCCGTGGACCAATGCCAAGCCACCAGGAAAGAAGCTAGTCACATCTGGGTGCACAGGGAGGACCTCGTGGCAGTCTGCATTGGAGAAGAGGTGGCTGCACAGCCCACGTTCCCCGTCGACATCTAGGAAAGCCAGGAGGCCCTCAGCCGAGGCGTAGTAGTAGAGCCCATGGAGGGCTGCAGGCACTAGCGGCGTCTCTTTAGCCTCAGCCCCTGTGGTCAGGTCAGCCACGGATAAGACCACGCCACGGGCAAGGAAGATGATGAAGAAGCGCCCTCCTCCAGCGGCATAGTGGTCCCCACCGCAGCACACGGCGTGGAGTGGGAGAGGGTCGGGAGACGGGGCCGTGCTCAGGTCTGTAGCTCGATGGACGACGTCTCCCCGCAGGATGCAGACAGAGGAGCCCGCGGCGGCGTCTCCTACATAGTGCTCCCCGCCCTGGCACGCCGGGTGCAGGCTCCGCACCTCCACGCTCGCCGGCGCGTGGCTGTCGGACGCCCAGACGAAGCAGCCCAGGTCAGAGCGCACCACGAAGCAGCCGTGGCGGGTGGCAAAGACGTCAGTACCGGGAGAAAGGGCCCGGGGGGCGATCCCCGCCATCTGGGCACGGAGACAGACCCAAAGACGAGGAGTGAGGCCAGGTGCAGCCGGGGCCGGATGGGAGCTGGGCAGGGAGGCAGAAGAGGCGAGCGGCGGGGCGGGGGGGTGATACAGGCGCTGCCTGGGCCCGGGGAGGGGGGGCAGGTGACAACCCGGGCCCGTCACAGCCCGGCCCGGGCAGCAGGGCAGGG